CCTGCACCTCACTGCGTTCACCAAGATGACATTCCCAGCACCTGCACCTCACTGCGTTCACCAAGATGACATTCCCAGCACCTGCACCTCACTGCATTCACAAAGACAGCACTCCCAGAGAAGAACTTTATATTTACTCAAATATTCAAAAATGCTACTCAGCCCAGTTCCATGCGAATGTGATGGGGGTGTAATAACCAAGAACGTGAGCATCTCAAGAAGACAGCATCTATACTGCTGCCAACCATGTGTTACATAGCAACGCAGCTGCTTGTTGTTCTCTGTGCAGTAATTCAACAACTGTGACAATAACTAAAAACTGTGGAATTCTGCTTGAAAACAGAACATGGTAAAACATTAAATGCAGATTTATGCAGGTTTTCATGCAAATAACTGAATTTAAAGCAGCCGAGTGCTTTTGGGCACACAAATGACACTGACAATGACACGTCCTTACCAGGGCGTCCCGTATATGCGGAATCCCTTCACCGTCACATCAGAGTCCTGAAGATATATACAGTTCGTAAGGAGTGACTGGACATTGTCAAAGTCCTCTGGTTTCAACTTGGAAACTGAGGGAAAACGGTAGTAATCCTGCTTGACCAGCTCAGCCATGAAGTCCTTGTCGAACGTCAGCTCGTGGTTCCCCGCGATAACCACCTTGAACTCGTATGGTAGGCTGCCTGCAGAGAACAAAAAAGAAAAGTTCAGCAACAATGGCGAGTATTTCACTTCAGCATTTATAAAAAAAAAAAAAAAATGAGGACAATGTAAGTACGGTATGTTGAAGACTGGGATGGGAGAGAGGGGCTGAAAGGGATTAAGGGAATGTCAATCTCCTTTTCAGCAACACTGCTGTGTTGGGCCTGCTGCAGAATCAGCAAAGGGGACGAACAGACCTGGGTGCTGGGGTGAGAGAGAAAGCACACTGACCAAATGTTTTGCCTCAAAACAAAGAATGCTCAGCACTCAAACAATCTAGGATGCAGCTCGGCAACCATTCAAACAGAGCACTCTGAGCCATTAACAGGGGTTTAATTTATATTATGAGCATGCTGAATTAATGTGGTTTCATGAAGATGAGCGCCGACATACGCTTAACCATTTCTGATAGCCTGAGTACATTAAGACATTACCCAGAATGTCAAAATGAGCCCTAAATATGGCAATACTGTGAACTGGCACATGCAGCCTTGCCTCCCTCCTCGACGCAGGGCACAGGGCACATGGCACCTCAGTGCGGAAACTCCTGACAGCAGCATGGCTGTCATGACACAGGGGGCCAAGCTGGATAATTCACCAGCCGTTCAGCATTTCATCTCTGTCCCCCTGGGGACTCAGATTTCCATTACATTACCCCATACTGCCTGCTCCTTCAGCTTCCCACAGACATCAGGTGAGTGGCACAGATTGATGGATAAACAGACGCATAGTGCTCTTGGCATACTGAGCCGAGGGTCAGAGTGTGGTGGCCAGAAAAAGCACCTCCCTTCAAACCATATGGGTGAACAGCTCTATTATACCCACACACCCCAGCTGCCCAGCTCGTCTATGATGAATTTTATTGATCTCGGTGCAAAATTCTTGTACATATAACAGTAAGGTACAGAAGCTGCAGATAAAATAAATATATTGTGCAAAACAGGACAAAGTGCAAAGACTGCTCACGTAGTGCAAGCAGTAAACAAGAAAATACCATTTTATAATGATAATTTGGGACAGATAGATAGTATGCAACAAATAATTAAAATTACAATCAAGAGGCCTTCTGTACATCACAAGAAAAGAGGGTGAACAGCATGTTATATAGAAAGGATATAAAGAGGTGAAGCTGACCTAAATATCAAAGAACATCTATTAGAGTCAGTTTGAACATTTTTCAATTTCTTGTTTGACCTTTTCTTTCACTGAAAGGTCCAGTGTCCTGGTCACCTCACATCACCAAAAGGTGGTTCTTTACAAAGCAGAGAGATGCCTGAGATTTCACTTTGAGGACAAGAACATTTCAAGTTGGCACAACACAACAAGACAAAGTATAAATATGTATGATGTAAATTTCAGTTATTCTTTAGGGTGTTCTTGGGACATGGGATGAGATTATTTCCATAACTGAAATAATGCCCAAAAAAATTACTGCATCTTTTCCCCGAGTAAAATGATCACTCAAAACCATACACATTAATTACAGGAGTGCAGGTGATCTGTAACTCTGCCAGAAATACGATACATTCAACATGGCTGCTTAATACAGCTCAAGGGAAACCAGAGACATGCAGCTTTGGCTGACCCTTCAGGACCCGACCTGCTGTCTCATGCCCTTAGGCCAGGAGCTTCCTTTTGTGCTTGGCGGCCCAAAAGTTTGCCTAGTCTCCATCAAATTGTGTGGAATCTAGCGCAGCATCATTGCCCACCACTAATGCAATGAGAAGCAGCTCTCTCTCAATTTGAAAATCCTGCAGCCTTTCTTAACTGCATCACATATCCATTTACATGAGGCTCCTCCGCTGCACAAAACCGAATCAGCAGCTCCAATTGGCTTACACCATACGGTCTGGGTGCAGCAATGAATTCTGGGGAATGTAATTACTGTTGGCTGACTCCATTTCCCAGACTCTGGAGGAAACTTTCATAGCATTTTATAGACATCAAAACATTTTAAAGGGTCGCCGATATCCTCTTATTTTCTCCACAAGCAATTGTTGAAGGAGAAAAAATAAAAATAAAGGCAAGGGAGCCGGCCCTATGTACCCATACTGCATCACTAATGAGGCTAGTTTAACTGTGGGTTAAACACTGCGGTAAAATAAATGACTGCTTATGCCATCTGCATGGCTCAGGGGAGTTCAATTAAAATCCCCATGTACTTACTGGAGCATGGAGTGGGGGAGCACCACATTCTGCAAGGGATATTTATTTAAAACCAGTTCAGATCGCAGTGTTTTATCACACAGAACCCCAACAAAATACGGCACTGTTAGCCACCACAGTCTCAAACAAAATAGGGGTGATTCAAAAGGGCCTAAAATTACAGTGCTAAGCACAGAAAGTCCCTAAAATTACTTGGTTTCTGCTGAACACATCATCAAAAGGGGTAGAGCTTAAACGTTCTATATTCCATTAAATAAAAAAGATAGTATAGCTCTTTTAGTGTCAGATACCCTTGCTTCCCCCCACTAAAATAAAAATGCCACTATAGAAAATAATTGTATTGCCCAAACTTTGGGGAATTAACATTTTAGCACTGGTCCTTCGCCGCAGATGTTTTGCTTGAGATAACTCAAAAAAACATTTGGCAGATTTTGCAAAGGCACCGTATGGGCAGCAAACTTCAACTAATTAAAACCTAAAAATGTAAACTGGATCAGACCGACACAGGGCAGTAAAATTGGAAGAGTGTGTAAGGTAGACTTACAAGGTATACATATGGTAGTGATAATATGTCCTTTACATTGCAATATTTTCTACAGGGTCACTGGACAAATGCCTTTAATGTGCACTCAGAAGCCAAACTTCATGCAACTGTGTGTCCGTGGGTGAAGGACAGTGTTTAACCACATTTAACTATTCAAAATGTGAGTATAGCAATCAGGCAAGATAAAACCCGCCTGTTTGCTAATATTCCTTGTTTTGTGGGGAAGGAATTGGTATACTCCAAGTGAAATAGCCGAGAGTTAAATACTTTAATTTGTAAATACTGTTCTTGTTGACTGTAGCTAATCCTGTGTATATACTGTGAATAAGAATGTTGATTTTTTTATTCGGTTTTTTTATTGTGCAAAAGGAACATGTCATTTATCTTGGTAAACATGAGGATTAGTTTGTACCCGACCCATATATTGCACGATCACCAAAACGAACACCAAATGCTGTGTGTTTTCAACCAATCTGCAATATTATTTGTCTGGTATTTCCTGGCTGTGCAATGGTGAGGTCAACTGAGTATTTCATGAGCACATTAAACTAAAGCACAATTTAGTATTGCATCAACAGCTCTCCTGCACCTTAGCAGATAGAGAATTATGCTAACAACACAGGTCAAGGGTTCAAATCCCAGGAAACACATAAATTCTCTCTAGTGTGAGCCTTTTTGGTTAAAAGGGTCAACTAAATATAAATGAGTTACACTAAATCACTAATGTTTTTGGTGCACATGATGTATCCGCTACAGTTCTTACAGTTATGTGACAAAAAATTTAGTTCATAGTGCAAAAGACAAATAAAAAGAATACAAATATTTAAACATATAATTACAAATAATATAAATGACATTTTCAAATATGGACCTTAAAACATACACAAAGAAATACAAGTAGCCACATGGTGTGGAAAGATTCTGGAAATGAATGAATAAGTATACTTTCAGACCTATATATTACAAGAAGGACCCAGAGAATTCAGGTAGAAACATATTTATTAACTTCCACATTTCCAGGTGAACCATCCAGTAAGTCTAGAAATTGTAGAAGTTGGTGAGTGTGGGACAAGTATAGATTAGATGGGCGGAGAATGTGGAGGGGGTTTCCGGGGAATACAATGCTGTTTGGTGCAATCTGCACACAATATTATGCACTATGTAGGATGATGTAGATTTTTAGCCACAATATGAGAAGCTGTATGAATCACTTCAAAGAGTTAATTTGCAGCTGAAATGATTTCTCCCACCACCCTAACAAGCATTGGTAGATACATTTAGTAGATTTCCACATTTTAAAATGAACTATTAATGCGTAATGCAGACTTCAGATGTCTTTCTAAGATTACAAATCACAGTGTCACAAAATACTATCAAGTCCAAGTGCAAGTCTGAGTCATGCATGTCTCAAGTCTGAGTCCGAGTCACACAAAAATGTAACTCGAGTCTAAGCCCTGGAGTCAAGTACTACAGCCCTGCCAAATACGTGTCGGGCATCTGAGGGAAGCATCAGACAGACAAGTCTGATGCATGGTTACAAAACAGGACTCCATGCACTGCCATGACATTACTCCCATGATCACCACCAAAATTAACTGGCATCTGTGCCATTTCAGCCATTTTCCCTCCTGGGATCTCGCTCAGTAGGTTCCCACCATGATTAACCATGAGCACCCCACAAGCCTTGTCATTTCTGAGATGCTCTCATCCAGTCATCTGACCATAATGACCTGCCCCTAGTCAGTTATTCAGATCTTTACTGCCACATTCTTCTGTATTCAATGGTAACCAAGAATACTGAATGTTAGCTTACCATCTATTATATCCCTGACTGTGGAGACATGGTTTTTATGAGAAAGTCAAAGCTATTCACTTCACATGTGGGTGGTCATAATGTTTTAGGCCTTAACACTAGCACAGGGACCAAAGAAGAGGTCCTGAAATATAAGGAGCTCTATATGTTAGGGAATCTCTTGAAGCAGAAATATGACAGCACTGAGCTCAGGTGAACCTGCAAGGTCATTTTTTCCCATCAATATTTAACACTAGAAGCAAACAGAATGGGGCCGGGAAAGTAACAAGCCCTGTCTCTTGTCAAATCTCGAAGCCTCATGTTCACAACAGCCCTTAGCCAACATGGTTAAACTTCCGGGTCCAAGTGCAGCAATCAAGGGCAGGCATCTGGAAGTTTCTGCTTCACCCCTCTGCCACTTTTCTTTTTTGTTTGGCTGTGAAACAGGAAAGGCTGTTGTGCAAGAAGTCTATGCAAACTGATCCTACCATGAGGCAGCATCTCTAAGCCATGCTGTGCTGTGATGGAAGCTATTGTTGGAGGTAATATTTTTTTTCCCCATGTATTTTAATTCCTCTCATAAAAGCCTCAAACCCAACCTAAAACAGTGGGACAAACAATCAAACAACAAGACAAGATGCCAGCTGACTTGTTAATCTGCTCAGTACCACCTTAAAACAGGAGCTCCACTGAGCTATATTTCTCCTTGGTGTGATTCAGGACATGATTGGCGCGTGATGACATGGTGGCATCAAAACAGGAGGAAGCTCAGGCTCTCTTTACTGTCCTGCCAGGAGAAGGGGATCTTAATCCCTGCACAGAGGGCCCTGGTGCCATCATGCCTAGAGTCTGGAGTGGGTATGCTCCAGCTGCATGGGCATGGAGATGCATACATAAGCCCTCCTCAAAGATCCAAGAACGTCCCCCATGTCACTATGGAGGCAGCTTTTCCAATAATCCTGCAAACAGTGAACCATAATGGGTTGGAGGAGGAGCTTTTATGGAAATATGGCCCATCGTTATAGCCACTAACGAAACAAATGCTGCTGGTTTCAAACCAAACTCCGCTTTCTCCTGTGTGTAGCAAGGACACACTGCTACCTCCCACATTAGAACTGACTTGACTTTACTTGATATGTCACATTTTACCCAAGAGCACAGAAGCATTAGCAAAATTGTCCAGCCATATTAAGGAATAACTACACATTCTTCAATTAGGTGAAAAACCAGCAATACCCAATTCAAGGAAAAACACAAATTGCAAGGCTAGTAGGAATACTCCTTAAGATCACTGCACCTATTAAGAACAATTGATTTATTTTGAACATAATTTGAAATGTTACAAAATGTGAAATGTTTAAAAACTGATTGCACAGTAAGGGGACAAAAGAGGAGAAAAGACAACATGCCATATCACTCTAATCACCAGCACTAGTCCAGATAAATCCACCAGTAAAGAACGACATTTTAAATAGCACAAGACTGATAAATTGTAGAGAAACAACACAAATCATTCTCTTCACATATAATATGGGACAATAAAGGGATCCTAGCACTACTGTAACAGAGCAGCTCCGGTTATGAGCAAAAAGCCACCGTTTCACCCAGTATGTGGCCAGAGAAGGTAAACCTCTGTTGATGCCGCTTTGATCTCAAAGTAACATCAGCCTTCAAAACTAACTATCCATCCATCCTCTGTAATCTCTTGCCCTATTCATGGTCATAGGAGATCCGGAGCCTATACCAGAGGCGACTGGTGCAAAGCAGGGAAAAACCAGGATGGGGCTCCCACCCATTGCAGGCCAATTCATACACCATTCACACACACACACACACACCCACCCCTACGGGCAATTTGGTAACTCCAAATAACCTCACCATATTTTTGGACCTGTGAGGGGAAACCGGAGTACACAGAGGAAACCCCACGACAGCATGGGCAGAACATGCAAACTCCACACACATGGAACCCTGGCGGAGACTTGAACCCAGGTCCCGAAAGGTGAGAGGCGGCAGTGTTAACCACTGCACCACTATGCCACCCCTAAAGGAACTAAACCCTTTTAATTGAATTAGGCCGCACTGTATGGCACTCACACAGAATGGAGGTTAATTGGGGTCAGGTTGAGGAATAGACAATAATAAAGTCTTTACCTAACCAGTCGTTAAACTTCTTGACCTCAGAAGGCAGGCCCAGCTCAGTGAAGTCGCCAGTGTGGAGCAACACATCCCCATATGGCATCTGGATGCCATCTGTGCGGGAGTGTGTATCAGAGACGCAAACAAAGCGCGTGTGGCCAGCCGGCTTGGGAGTGTCGTAGGGGATAGGGTCCACCCTGTTGCCAAGAGAGGGAGCACAAAAGGGATTAGGTTGGAGGAGGTCATGACAAAATAGGCCAAGAACCCACGAACAGCTGGACTGGAAGCAGGTGGGGCAGACAGGCTACAACATTGGCAAGTGTACCTTGGTCTTCATCCCTGGTACTGTTCATGACATATCTGCTTATGCCAAAACGAAAAAAAAACAGACCTCATAAAATCAGCTACACATGACCCTGTAAAGATGGAAATCTTTTAAAAATAAATAAATAAATAAATAATACAGGCAAAAGCAGATTTCATTCAGCACCTTTAAATGCTCTGCAACTGACGGCACACTGCTGCAAGTTCTATTATTAAAACAGCATACTACTCTTTTACAGAGTTCTTAAAAAATATCTTCTTAGGGAACTACACAAAAGACTACTTCCATGCTAAAAACATCCACCGTTGCCATAAGTCTGCGTTTTAAAACCCTTTTGTAAAATTCTTGACATTATGCAAGTGCCATTACAAAAGCAAGTTCCATTCATGGAAATTGTTCAAATTTGATCATGTGCAATATAACAATCTATACCACAAGTGTGACTGCTGGGGTGTGGCATGTAGTTGTGTTCTGGGCATACAGCAACTCTGGATATAACAGCAACTCTGGATAAAATTAACTGTTTTGCCAGGTCCATTGCAGTCCGTTATAAATGGATTTTACTGAAGCAAAATAAAAAATTAACAGTGGTTTTTTGCCAAGTAAGTTGCATTATGTGTGCAATTAATTGACATCTACATTAAAGTTAAATAAATCTTAGGATGGAAAATGTGAAGGCAAGAGTTAGGTGTTGTCCCTGCATGTGAATGAATTTAAAACTGAGGGCCTGATGCCACACAGGAAGAGGGCAGAGGCATACATGAGTGCTGTGTGCACTCGTGGGAAGAGAAATAAATGGTTTACTCAGGTGGTAAAACTGCAGCCCAGATAGGACAAAGTGAACAGAAGTAAACTCCTCCTATTCTATCTCCGTCAGCAGATATCAATTAAAAATCAGCAGATATTAAGGCTTAAGGTTCAAAGGGTTCCTAACTACATAATTCAAAGTCTGCCCCAAGACCCACCAAGGTCTAGGCCCACCCAACGACTCCCAAAAACTCACACACTCCAGGCTGGACCTGTGCACTAAACAAAAACCAGCACTTCAGTATCACAGCTCATTATGGCTCCTGCAGCCATTCAAGGAAGTTCAATCCCTTTCCCTTCAACAGGCATCAGGTATCCAGCCAAAGAGGGAAATCATTTAGATTCAGTCAGGGATTACATTTACATCCAAAGCATTGCACTGCAGTGTTCAGAAATATTGGAAATAAACACATATGTCTATGCATGTTATTTGATGCTAAATTTAAAAAATTAAGATGTGTAAAACAGACAGGCACCATACATTGAATACATGAACTGAACTGTTATGACTAATAACGTAACAAAAGTTTACAGTGGAAGAGTCGCAGAGTAAATGCTTACATACTTGGAGGATTTTCTTTTGTGCACATGATGGACATGTAACTCATTTATATTTGACACTTTTATTCAAGAAGGCTTATGGTATAGGGAAGAGGTACAACTTGCGTGCTTCTTGGGATTTAAAATCCTGAGCTCTTGGATGTTCGACAGTGTTTATGATTGTTTGCCACTTCGTGTTATTCGATTTTACTATCTTTGCAAAGCGTACTTGAGTGCCTTGAAAGGCACCTACAAATAAAATGTATTATTATTATACCAGTGCTCTGATGAGCTACAAGAGAACTGTTGACGCAACACTAAATTGTGCTTTAGCATTTTCTTTTTCAATATGGAGATAATCGGACAATATATGGAACAAAAAAAAAAATTGAACAAAAATGAAAGTTTTTATTTACAGTAAATACAAGGGAGTAACTTCAACAAGACTAGTGTTTGGACAAACAAATGACACTCTTGCTGAATTCACGTTTTGAATGGTTAAAGTCACTCTGGATTTTGCTGGATTACCCTTATTGGAAGAGTTGCTTTGGACTTGCATGTTCTTTCACCAGTTCCCCCTGTTATTTTTAATGTGTTTGTCTCCTTGCCTGTATTCTCTAATTACTTCAAAAAAAAAAAAAAATCATTCACGGTTTTTATGGCTCTGTCAGCACTTGTGCTCCATTGCTGCTGCTGACAGTCACAGAGAAAGTGACGTAGCTTTATTAACTGTCATCTAGTGTTTGTTATATTGATAGAGAAAAATTATACTGAGATACAACGATAACAATAATTATCTCCCAGCCCTACAATCCACTCCTGGTCAGTGCAATAACTGCCATATTCCATCCGCATATACTGCTAAGGTAAACATTCACTGAAAAGATCAAAATATAAAATGTGAACACATAGATGACATGGGATGAGTATGTTCAAATTAGTCAGTAAAAAAAATCTTGCAATGCTGAGGTGAACATGGTTGAGCCTCATAAAACTGTATGAAGAGAGAAAATTTTAATTACATTTATTGATTCTCTTTGAATAGAGAAAACTGGCTGTGGACAAGTTAAAATCAGGTCAGCTACAGCCTATAACTATTTAGAAAGTACAGTCAGTCCTGCTACAACATGTGATATCACACCACAAAATTTGTTCTAATGCGACTGATATATTCTGCCCATGTCCAAGACAACGCAGAATCACATTTGTATTTGCACAATTCTCAGTCGGAGAGAAAAGCACTTTGTGAAGTACAATGTGATACATCTTAGCGTGAAACACTACTTGCACGCAAAAACAGCTACCCAAGTGAACGATAGTGATGTCCCAGTATTATAAAGATGGCTACGACTATTTATAAAAAGGTATAACACATTATAGTTAGGCCTATTATACAAGATGAATGCTGTATGAAGCTCTCATCTATGATGCACTACTGATACCTTCATAATGTACTATAATGGTCAGTATAAGTGCATGTTAAGGGTGAAGAACCAGACCTGAAATTTTGAGACAAAAATCGCACCAACTGAAGCAATGGCACTTAGTGACAACAGAGAGAAAGAAGAGACGAGAGGCTTATCCTTGTGAACAGGATCACTATTTATGGTTACTGTATTTACACTATTTAATGGATCTTTTTACTGCTTCACAAAAACATACGAATAATAATCTAAATCTGACAATGTACACTACAAAACCACCTCAAATTTGGAAAACCGGTACTGCAAGAGAGAGGGCAGCCAAGAGCAAAAATGGGGCCTGCAGATATCTAAACAAATTCCATGGATCTTTTTGCAAATGTCCCAGGGACATGGCACAGGTCAGTGATTCTAAAACTGCAGGGCACAAGAATTTTCTGAACATTCTTTACAATATTGTATTGATTTTTTTTTTTGTAGCTAGCCTGCCAGTTCAGCAAATTTTATCAGTAGTAGTGCAGCAAAATGTATCCTACGAATTTATTGTGGGAGAATTATTGTGGGAGAACCATGTCACTTATTTTGGAAACGTAGGAAGTATTTGTAAAGTCAGACAAATGTTCCTGGTCACCAGACCATTATCATGTACTCGGACCCCAAGCTTTGCTCTCAACAGTGTATAAATGCGCGCACGAGTGAAAAGGACAGCGATTAACCACATTTAACCATTCAAAATGTGAGCTCAGCCATCAGGCAAGACAAAGTCATTTGATTGCCAATATTCCTTGTTGATTTGATTTGGTATAACCTACTCTAAGTGCAACAACGAAGAATTAAAACCTTTGATTTGTGAATATAGTTCTTGTTGATTGTAGCTAAACCCGTGTATATAAGCTATTAAAAAAATCAAATGCTGATCCCCTTTTTGAACAAATATGGGACACAGTTTGCCTAGTATTTTCTTACCGAATGATTGGGAGCTCAATTTAGTATGTGGCGGGCATGTTAGACTCAAGCATAGTTTAGTATACCATCAACAGCACTCCTGTAGCTCATCAGATAGAGCATTGTGCTAACCACACACACTGCAATGCAACAATTTTCATTTAATCGTGCAGGACTATCTTGTACGTGGAGCACCTCTGCCAGAGACCAAAGTGATCTCCTCGCTGCAGTGTTTGTGATATGTTTGTCGCTACCTGATCTGTATAGCCCACCCAATCGATTCCTTCCAGATCCATTTCATGTACAGTGTATATGTACGCATGGAAGTTGCATCATTGATGTCATGTCTGACATCAATGACCAGGCCCACTTCAAGTGGGCCTGGGCACGATTTAGTGCACTGTGACCGGGCACAGTAGTCAGACAAACAAGTCTTCAGGGGTTAGATGTAATCAGGCACTCTATAGATGCCTAGTGTGACTACACACATACAATGCTATTATTTGCAACAGTCCCTTTTCTAGTTCTTAATTCTCTAGTCACTCTCTGTACTTAATTGTTTTGTGTATCTGTATTTTTTGTCTTGAATGTAGGTTTAAACTGTATACTCATGCCATTACCAAAACTAATTCCTTGTAAATTTTTGCAGAACAAAAGGACTGATTCCTAATTGTAGACAATGTCCTCTGCTGTGCTGAGCTGACAAGTTGGGTAAGTGGAGATCTGCTCTTGTCAAACCTACAGGGAGCTGTGTGTGAACAGGTCAGCGAAACAACATAGTCAGGCAAGAATGTGGGAGTCCTCCTGCCCATCAACCAAGGGCACAAATAATCAAACCAATCCCCTCCTCCTGTTTGAACTGAGCACTCATTATGTACTAATGATTTCTATTCAGTAGCCAAAGAAAGCCAGAATTGAGCCGTTGACCTCTCAGGTCAAAGGGCGACTGTCAAATCACTAATCTACTCAAGTCACCAAAGCTCACTTTTTTTTTTTTTTACTCCTCTTCCAAGGGGTAACAGTCATAGCACTTCTGTAAGCAGCACAGGGTCAAAAGCATGAATCATGGCTTACTCTGACATTTTCACTGAAATGTCACTTCCTAATTTTCGTCAATCAAGAGCTGGCTTTTTTCCTCTGAAAATAACCAAGGCAGATGGAAAAGGAAACGCATTGCTGCATTAAAGCTACTAGCTGCTGTCTACTGATATAATTGACGGAGGTCAATATTTGTGATTTTGGCTGGCCAGGACATGCAGCGTCAAACCACCCCCCCCACCCCAAATAACACCTTATTTGGCTCAGGTCAAGCCTCCACCGGCTGGGATTTCATTTGAGGAAAATAGTCTAGTGATCCGGTGCTGTGACCATTAATATTTCAGAGTGTTGTGTTTGTAGATATATAAAAGAGATGTGAAAGGTGCCTCCATCTCAATCTGCTTTTGGAAGTGGGCTTATCATTCCTGTACAGGGATCCCCTTATGGGCACCCACCCACAATGTTATTACCAGGCCTGGGCCAAAAAGGAAGAATAGCCACAATTGTCAATGGTAGCACAATTAAGCTGTTTAAAATTATCTTCATATTATACACACACACACGTACATACATACATATGCTCACTACTAATCCCCTTTCACTGGAGGAAAATCACACAAAGGAACAGGCTGCTCCTGTCATTAACTGTGGTGTGCCACTAGAAGCCAGAGGTACTGTAACATATAAACCTGCAGAACTAAATAAATGCTACTACTTTGCATACTGTGCATTTTTAATTCGGTCTGCTAATAACCTGCTTGCACAAATACAAACGGTGGCAAGCTACTATGCCAATCCAAAGGTGGTCTGCTGTTGCAAGGGAAAAAATGGTGGCTGTGTTTATAGACATGATTGGAAATGGCATCACTGGCCAAGTGCTCCCTTGCAGCAGAGAAAAGGCCTCTAGAGCCAAGCCAGGTTCAGCTCAGAGGACTTCAGCTGTACAGCACAGACCTGTGCCATGTCAACTGTCACTTAACCCCTGCAATGGCAGGCGCAGAGGAACTTAATCAGGGCTTCTCGTATTTCACTGGCTTGAGTTGCATCCACAGCAGCCCAAGAAGTAAAAAAGCCTGCTCACATACTCCTGAGAGTGACTTCAATGTCTCTCTAGGCTGCTTCAGGTAAGGAACTACAGTTTTGCTTTCCTGATTAAATTTAACAGGACATCTATATCAGCAAACCTAAACAAGCCTGGAATGTAAAGATGAGACAGAGTTACAACTATGGAGAAGGAAGGCTTGACCACAGGATACTGAACAGTCGAGACAAGTTCACTCATTTATGAGAAATTCATAATTGTGCCTCTCTAAAGACCAGATAATGCTGTCAGCAGATGTATGGCAAGGTAACAACAATGAACAAAACTAATGTCACTATTAACTATTGCTATTACAAGATTGTTTATATAGAATTGGTAGTCAATATGATAAATGATTTAAAATTACTCAGGGCAAAGAGAAAAATAAACAGCCAAAATGTTGGTTTTACTAAGTAAATTTCCTTCAAGACAATAATAGTTTTCTAATTCCGAAAATCTAGAAAAAAGGGCACCTTCTCCCCAGACTAACAAAACATACAAAGGTTTAATCCTGTCTGCCCAACAGCCTTGACAAACAACAAAACCACAAAATAAACTTCAAAACAAGTCCAAAACATGAATTTCCTCATGAACGCAGCCAACCTTAAGTGGGTCTATAAAATACGTAGGAAGCATTACAGAAGTCCATTAACTGGAGCAATCTAAACTGTTATCAGCTGGTTTCAATCAAGGCAGACACGGTTTGCAAACTCACATCTTGCTAAAAGATACAAATAAACAAAAAAAAAATGCAAAATGGAAATGTTTTTTTGAACTCGTACAAGATGTAAAACGGGGTAAAAAATTAGGGTGAAATCCATGCATTAATAAAGTTATATTTCAGGTATGACTGAGTCCAGATAAACGAGAAACCCTAAGGTAGCACCCACTGAGAATAACAGCACCTGACCAAAGCAATTCTGACTGCTGCTTTACAACTTCTTGCATGCTCTGCTCAACTCACCGCACCATTAGGTATGGAACTGTAGAACAATCATGTTCAATTTCTTTTTATTTACTCCACAAAAAGAAAGGGGGGGGGGGGTGTCAAAAGATAGAAGGTTGGCAGTGTTAGTTGAGCAGAGCACCATGTTTGAAGTCCCGGATTCAATCTACGAGTGACAATATCTTTTTTCTCCCACTTCACATTCAGGTCACAGAGCCATGTGTTGTGCCACAACAAAAAATGATGTGGTCTGCTGGAAAAACTATACTACCTTTTCAAAGCACTCCGTGTAGGGCACCAAAGAAAATATCAAGGCATATTAAGTTTCAAATGGGCGCTCCATGTGCTCCAAGCCAACTTTATACGTAAAGAATCCTACTGCTGACAGAGCACAAACCCCAGATGGAGTAGATGATTATCTCACAAATCTAAACAGTGCTTACTTTCCCAGAACAGAGCACTTATTCTATAAGAAAGGCTGTACATGGTGGGCAAAAAGGTCCATGGGGCGAGGAGGTTAGGTTAGTCCCTTCTGACTTTGAAAGTTTGAAAAACTAAAACTTATTTTCAAGAAAAGAAAAAAAACTCTAGAACTGCAGTATGTTAAATGCATCACAATTTTCCATATGACTGTAGACTACAAATACCTTTCTATGATTATGTCTTGTAGAAACCACATTTGGATAACTAGCCAGAACTTATATTTTAAGTTAAAACTACTCGTAATTAACTGCAAGTTCAGCATTTAGCTCACAAGTCACAAGATAAGAAATGGTCAGATGGCTCACAACAAAAGAAATAAAAACAACACCAACCCAAACTTCAACAAAACCAAATGTTTCTTGATGGAGAAAAAATACTCTACAGACTCAAGGAAAATGACAGAGGTCAGCACCATACACTGCTTTGCCAGCTGAGTGATATACTCACATGTGGACGTGAGGGGGCTGGAAGCGGCTCTGGTTGATGTTGTAGTGCGTGAAGGCTTGTGTGGGATTAGAACTGTACTCGTCAACCGTGATGGTCACTTTGCCCTGGGGGGGGATTCCATGAGCCATTCTTCCACCTTTTGGACATGAGCAGTTCACAAGGATCCAGGGCCAAGCCGGACTGTGTGCATCCTTCAGAACCTCAGCTCAGAACAGAACTGCACCACACTTGGCCACAGTCTGTATCCATAACAATGACAATCATGGGAGAAAGAGAGAAGAGAGAACGTAAAGCTCTAGAATGCTTAATATTTCCAAATAATTCAACCATTTAAAAGAATTTGCTTCTACCATAAAGCAGAGTATAACTTGCAACATATAAACATACAATGCTTATAAATCAGATCATGATTTAAATTACAAATAAATCTATGAAATGAGGATTTTTAAAATTAAAATATCATATTCAATTATTGTTCATTCAATTACTCCAATCAACACTACAATTAGCTCATGTATATATTTGCCTCATTGTCGTGTTTGTGTTTTTTTCTTAAAAAAAATAAATAAAAACAGCTTCAGCATGTGAGTACTCCTAGGGTCCTTAGGGGGTCGCGAGATGATTTCCAGAGCATGTAGCTAAAAATTTTAAAACAATCGTCAATATCTTCTGGGGGGGGACGAATTCTACAGCGGGAACCCCCCTCCCCCTGGAAAATGGGGGTCGCGAGGCTCTGGCACTTATTTTGGTTATCGTGGACTGAAAAGTTTGGCAACTAAACGGCCTAGGGTGCTACCTGACCACAGAACAATAACACAAGCAAATTATCTAGCATTTTAAACTGTAGATATTATCAACAGTAAGGGCACAAAACATTACAAAATATGCATTCCTGTAAGGAAAAAAAACAATATAAATCAATAAAAAAGAAAAACAACTAACACTAGTCGTCGTCATTTAACGATATTTCACTAAAAAAATGTTTACTCGTGTTAAAAATAAATTACTAGTTTCATCCTTTATTTTACCCACACATTTTCACGTGCACAAATTAAACGCAACTTTTATTACTGTATCTGTTCTTCAGACAAAAAAATTACTATTTAATACATGTAAAAAAACAAAAATAACGTAAGTATAGGTTATAATAAACGATACACAAACTGCTGGATTTACTTCAGAATAACACGACTACAATGTCCCCATCGTTCAAAAAAATACATCATACTAAAAAAAACTAATGCGAAAACTGCGAAATAAACGTCAAAGCCAGTGAGCAAACGCCGTTCGAGCTTCCGAAACTGACCCTGCTCGAATTTCGGGTTACCGGCAAGACTCGCTTCCTCATGCCGTCCTGGAGGGTGCCTCTCCCGGGCTTCGGCGGCGCTCTGCTCGGCTCTGCTCGCACGTCGATTTGATTGATTACAGTAGGCGACCAATGGATCCCCCCGGTCTTTTATACACGATCTCCTGCCCACCACCATTCATGTAAAACTCCACTAACAATCACTGCTACACACCCAGCCTCATTTTATTCGAGCCAGCGTCTAAGGGGCCGTAGCGAGGCTAAAAACACACAAGCAGATGAATTATTTCGAAAATCTGAGCTACGCGGTGGCGTTTGCGTGCCGGCCGGAAAGCGGGGTTATGGGATCTCATCACACACCGGTTACAAAGGATCGTTATGTAGGGCAGCAGCGCCCATGCTACCCGGGCTACATTATAACGTAGAATCGTTTCTTCAAAAGTCCTCCTACCGCACTTAAAACAACATAGGCCTCCGAGGTAACGTTGAGACTATCTAGTGAAGGGTGAAAACAGTGAGCGGGTCTTTCCTTTCGCCAGCGCCTGGATTCAGACTGACCGTGGTGAACTTTGACCGCGGCTTTTCGCACGACTCCATTCGGAGAAATGAAACGGCACCGAAGCTAAACGCTCGGCCGGTGCTGGCGTGACGGAGGTAAATACGGCAGAACTACAGTCGCGGCTAACGAGCTAGCCGCTTAGCTTTCTGTCTGAGCAACGAGATACGAAAAAGCTTTCCCGCTTCGACTTTTTATCCGTAGCATTTCTGCCTTGCACAATGACCTATGTAGCGTACCGTGTTTTAATTTGGCGTTCAGAGAAACTGAGGAAGGATAAGTTATTAAAAGCATACTGGCGACTAACGCGGCGGCTCACCCGAGTCACTTCTTCGGAAAAGGGACTAAATTGAACCTCTGACACGGCAGACTACAAGATCCCCGCGCCGCCTTACACAATATTATTGTTTTTGGAGCAAAACTGAGTTATGAATGCATCCAACTGTGCAGTCTGGTACCAACTACGCGCAAAAATATCGGCATATGCGATGGAAGTGTAGTAAGCCCTGAGTCGTTCCCCCTCGTAAATGACAAGGCACCTCTAACCTAGCGCTTTGTGTCTTATTCTCCCCCCGCAATTGTCTCGCTAATCAGGAGAGTGATTACCTTTCCGTCGGCCGGGATGCGTGCCGGGGTCGCCCTCTGTGCAGTTAAAGACGCCGATCCATGAAGGATGAAAGCTGGCGCGGGAGGCGGAAAGGTTGGAGCCAGAGTGAGCGGGGCAGAACCTTCGACCCTGAGGGACCCCCGGCTGGCTCTTAGTGGAAATGAGACGGGCAAAAACAGAGAACTAGCCGGGGGTGTGTGTGTGTGTGTGTGTGTCTGTGTGAGAGAGAGACAGAGCAGCCTCGATCTGGGAGGAGAAAGAAAGCCTGAGAGTGCAGTGTAGTGAGAAGGGACTGCCACTGGGGTCAGGGAGCACAGCTCAAACGGGGGCAAGGCAAACACTCGCTCTGTTTACTCTGCGGCTGGCTACTACCTAGGTAGAGTCTCTTTCCAGAATTCTTTTTGTATACATATTTATTTCCAGCAAGAGTATCATAGAAACCTTAGTATGTTGTGGTATCCAAAAAAACCCAAAATGACAATGTTAATCTTAATATATTATTAAAGATTAAGCTGTTTAAATTGCCATTGTGTTACAACGAGAGTGTTAAGCACTTGCCAAGTCGATGCAATCACAAAAATGAGGAAAAGCAAATTGTGCATTAAAGTAAGAGGCAGTTAAAGTCTTAAAGAAATAAATAATAGAGACACACTGTGCAAATTGGGTGTGCATTCTTTTTAACTGGACTAAATATTTAGCCTGCATTGCAATGTTATTTGAGAGTCTTTATTCGTCACCAATGCATCAGCAATAGATTAACATGCAAGCTACAATGCTTTGCTGCTACTTCATTAGGACGGGATAACCTCCTGTTTTAGTATTCAGCTTTTCAGGAAGAGCTTCATAGAATCAATCAAAGAAACACATTTTAAATTTTATTAATTTATTTATCTATCTTAACAGAAGTGCGCTACTTAAAACAATTATTATGTTTGAGGTTTCAGGCAAACAGTCAACAGATTCTCTTTTCTAAAAGAGGATCTTTTGGAGTGAAAATTTGTGTACCATTTCAAATATTTTAATGTATATAGCTGGCTGATTCCTATTTTCAAAGCTGGAGAAAAGTGTGTGTGTGTAATTAGGCAAAGAAAGAATTTGGGCTGTTGGGGTGGAAGGTCTTCGATAACTTGCCCCCACCAGGTCCCGGCTGCTGTTGCATAGTTAAGGTCTTCAAAACGGAAATTCCCTGGTGCCCTTGCAGTAGCCCTTCCTGTCAGACCTAGTCTATGGAGAGGCTAAAGGGAGGGCAGAAGCTAGCCATTGGAGTTGCACAGTGGCTCTTGCTCTCATAAGCATGGGGAAAGGACAAGATGCGGGTAGGTCTCACATTTGACATGTCTTGCGTCAGCTTGTGGAGGTGGTAGCCATACATACTGCTGCGGTATGAGCTGTGCTGTCAGCCAGTCTGCCTTGTTGCCCCAATCTGCGTGATGATGTAACTCTGTTAATGTCAGGGGGGGGCTACCTTGAGAGATAGAAATGCTAAATTATTTAATTTGGAAGGATCAAAAAGGGAGAGAAATGAGACTGTTCGGAAGTGACCTCCTCCTTTGGTGCACTGTGAAATCTAAACATATTTCATGGTACATTTGATCATAAATGTGGCCTGTGCATTCATACATACAAATTTATGTATGTGTATATACTAATGTCGAGGTAATCTAATTTGTATAAATGTATTGCTCATCTTGCAGTATCTCATAGCAGCCTGCTATGCATTTAAAATTAAAACCCATTCCATAGACCGGCAATATGGATACTTTTACTGAGATGCTTCACTTTCCGAGGAGCATAATCATACTGTCCTTCTATACTGCCTGGCTTTCTTTTATCTCCTGAAATACATTTCCATCTACTAGCTGCTGGGTGTTATTAGGGAGTTGAGTTTAAATTTCATTCAGAGGAGCTGTATTTAAACGTTTGACTGCAATTTGTTCTTTTGTTACATAAAAATGATATTAAAATGAAGGGTCCAGGTGTCAAATGGGGAATACTTTTCCTGAGTTTTTATTATGTTTTCATTCTGTTCACATTTATTAAATATGAAATGTAAATGTTGTGCTGAATGCAAAAATAGTCTACATACAGTGAAATTTTATGACTGTCCCTCAGTGCATTGGGTATTTTAGCAGTTTTAGTCATGTTGGGAAACTCAACCAAGCCTACAAATTCCTGTGTGGAGAATGACCATCAAGGCTACTTGTAGAAACTAAGGGCACCCAATTACCTGCCTGTTTGGAGCCCCTGCTGTTATGTTGTGTTAAATGATCTCTATTATGACATAGAATTCCTTCCGTTGTCACATATTCGTTCAACTCTGTGTATGGATAAGTGTACAAATAATTGTTTCAAGGCAATAAATGACATCATTTGAAAATTCCAGAATATGTTCTGAATATTTTTCTTGTTTCTTTACGTAACACACGCATAATTGAAACATTTTAGACAGTTTTTAAAGTTTGTTCCTCTATCATTGATTTCTTTTCCATTTTGACCACTTTTTCACAGTGTACAAATAATTTTTGGCTACACTGTAGTTTTATAGCTGTGCATGACACACTTCCAAGTATCCACCCAATAATTCTCTTATTAAATTTAAAATACCTCATTCAAAAGAAAAAACGCCTTTTTTCAATTTCTGAAAACACATTATAGAATAATTGTAGTACATTTCCATCTGAGGATTGTAACCTTAGCATGCTTGAATGACCCACATGGCTATGTTGTCTGGAGCTTGAGCTCATTGGTAGGGCCTCAGTTGGTGAACAGGTCTGTGGGTAGAGACCAGACAAACTATGATCCAATGAAGAAAGACCCCAGCAAAAGGTTAAAGTACAGAAAAAAACAAGTATACCTTGCCTAGAATAAGGTTACAGGAGCCAGGCCTGAAGGTGGTGTTCACTGACAAGGGCCTGGTTGTTGGGCCACCCAGCCCTAAATAGCTTAATGGCTATAATGTATGTTTTAAGGACAGCAAGATGGGGTAGGTGAAGAGAAGCATTCCATTGTACCTGTACTTGTACATGTGCAAATGGAAAATAAAGGATTTTCAATTGCAGTACCATTTCAGCAGGAAGGACCCAGACAAGTCAGCTCTGGGCGATGGACAATGGGGGTGTTACTTCTCTGATGGGAAAGGAGTCTGAACTGGTGTAGGAGATATTGCTTGATATAGTTAGCCTTCCCTCCATGTACAAAGTAAGCTCGAGTGCTTGAAAGGTACAGTCTGTGAACTCTTTGGTCCTACTGAGAAACTTCAATGCTCATGTGGAGAATGATGGAGATACTTGGAGGGGTTTAATTGGGAAGAATGGCCTCCTGATCTAAATCTGATTGATGAACTATTATTGGACCTGGTGGCAAGTTAATTTCTGTGCATTGGGATGAGGCCAGATGGACCAAGATGACCCATGGTTTGCTGGGAATGTCAGCTGAAGTTTCTATGGGTGGTAAATATGACTTGCACCCCTGGAAAAACTTCACATGCTGAGTGAGGCTGAGGACATGGAGTACTAATAGACAATGTTCAAGTCCTCAATCATGGTAATGGCTGTGTCCAGAAGGCAGTCAATGTCTATCATAGCAGTAACCCTAGGACCTGCTGGTGGACACCTGTGGTGAAGGAAGCTGTCAAACTGGAGAAATTGGGCTTCAGAGCAATGATTGCCTGGGGTTCTCCTGAGACAGCAGAATGTTACTGACAGGTCAGAAAGGCTGAAGTGACAGCTGTTTCAGAGGCAAAAGCTCATAAATGGGATGAGTTTGGAAAGAGATGTTTTGCCAAACTGATGCCTCAGGAGAAGGAGGTGGGACTTTGTTCAGGCTGTACTTTTCTGCGGTAGGGAACTTTTGGCCAAATCTGGGAATATTTTCAAGTAGTGGAAAGATCACTTTGAGGAAGCAGTGGGAAGCTTCCAGGCTGTAGTGCTGGACCAGAGGTACCTTTTATAGCCAAAACCATATGGATGCAAGTTTAACATCCCATCCCGAAACCAAAGATAGTATGAATGTGAATTTGGTTCGCTCATTGTTGCTGTAATAGCCTCTGATCTTCTGGGAACACTTTACATTAGAAGGTGGAACATTGCTGGTGGGATTTACTGTCATTCAGGTTGGATATTGATGTTGGGGTATCAGGTCCCTTTCTGTGAATTTGTGTGGCCTACCACCTTGAAACTGAACTTGCCAGATCTAAAGACATAAATACTAAAATAATGGAGACAGCTACATTTTGTGGGATCGGCCATTTTTTGTAGTGGACAACAACAAAGTTGGGTCTGAAAATACAGGGCAGTAGGGTATTGGTTCAAAATGGGACATGGTTTATTTTATGATACTGGACAATTTTACATTTTTATGTACTATTCTCCAATTATCAGTTGTGCGGTCCTTGTAGATAGGTAAGTTTAATAATACTTTTTCTGTTACATTTCACATACCCAGGGTGTATATGTTGGACATATACTGGCATGCAAAAGTTTGGATACCTCTGCTAAAAAAAATTGATGTTACAAAACATCTAAGCAAACAAACAACAGACCTAAAGTTAAAGATGACAATTTCTGAATTTTTTTTTATTTCCATCTTTTACAGTTTCAAAATAAAAAAGAAAAAGGGTAAAGTAACAGTTTGGGCAACCTATATGACCAGTACATAGTAACATTCCCTTTGGCAAGTATTAAAGCTTGTAAACATTCTTTGTTGCAGGCTAGGAGTCTTTCAGTTCTTGTTGGGGGGATTTTTACCCGGGTCTATTTGTCCTTGCAAAAGACTTTTAGTTATGAGAGATTCTTAGGCTGTCTTGAATGCACTGCTTTTTGAGGTTTACCCGCAGATTTTTCGATGATGTTTAGGTCGGGGTACTGTGAGGGGTCATGCCTGAACCTTCAACTTGCGCCTCTTGTGGATATGGAGGTGTGTTTGGGATAATTTTCCTGTTGTAGAAACCATCCTCTTTTCATCTTCAGCTTTAATAATCACCTTTTTTCTCCCAACACACTTTGGCCCATTGTAGCCAAAAAGCTCTATTTTAAATACATCAGTCCACAGGACTTGCTTCAAAAATGCATCAGGCTTGTTTAGATGTTCCTTTTCAAACCTTTGACACTGAATTTTGTGGTGAGGATGCAGGAAAGGTTCTCTTTTGATGGCTCTTCCATGAAGGTCATATTTGTGCAGGTGTCACTGACTCACTGCACAGTAGAACAGTGCACCACCACAGCAGAGTCTGCTAAATCTTCCTGAAGGGGTTTTGATTTGCCTTTCTAGCAATCCTGTGAGCAATTCTCTCAAAAATGTTTCTTGGTCTTCCAGGCCTCAAGTTGACCTTCACTGTTCCTGTTAACTGCCATTTCTTAATTATATTATGTTACAAACTGAGGAAATGGTTACCTGAAAACACTTTGATATCTTCTTATAGCCCTCTCCTGCTTTGTGGGCATCAATTATTTTAATTTTCAGGATGCTAGCCAGCTGCCAGAATAGCCCATGTCTGCAGATTTTTGGGACAAGGATTGAGGAGTCAGAATATTTATAAAGCTTTGATATTTGCATCACCTGGCCTTTTCTAACAATGACTGTGAACAAGCCATAGCCCTGATGAGCGAATTAAGGTTTGAGACCTTTGTACAGGCGACCTAAGAGCTGAAATCTCTTGGGGTGCCCAAACTTTTGCATGGTGTTCCTTTCCTTTTTTCACTCTAGAATTGTACAAAACAATAATACACTAATCTTGCTTAAAATATTGAAAATAATGTTTTATTTTTAACTTTATGCCTTTTGGAGATTTGTTCATCTTCTTCCCATTTAAGTATTCACAGTAAGAGAAATTTTGACCAGGGTGCCCAGACTTTTATATGCCACTGCAATGCTGCAAACACATTAAAAGTCTGTTGATTCCATATAATTAGTTTTAGGGTGTTATATATTCTTTAAATGTTGAAATTATACAAGAATGGTGTAATTCAGCATTTGGATGAAACCAACCCATTTATTGAATTTTATAGCATGACATGGCTTTGACCATGCAGCTCTTACTTCTGGATGTAGAAATTATTAATCAGATGAAATATTTTAATAAGGATACCCCAAATTCCATTGCAATGCATAGTGACAAAAGTGAAAATACGTGTTTATTACAGTAGAAAATTCTTGACATTGCGTTGTCTGCTACATGATATTGAGATACATCATGTGGGACTGTTTAAGTTTCTGTCACATACAAAGTACGTTTCACAATTAGAACCATTAAAAGGCCATCCACTGGGAAAGCTCCAGAGATTAGATTGTTCTGGGAAAACTAAAACATTGCATTGATTGTCCTAAAATGGAGCTGATAAA